GAATAATTTGTCACGGACAAGGACTTGGAGATTATGGTGTTATTATTGTATTTTTTATATACTTTTTCCATTGCTGTTAAATATTTATTTTTGTTTCTACATAAACTCACTGGCTTGAGATATTTGAAAAAATCCTGGGCGTAATTTTATATTCGGGCTACTAACTAAAGGATGACTCCCCCAAAAAAACAACAACAACAAAAAAAAAACATGAAATTTGGTATAGGTTATTTAATTGTTGGAATAATAGTTATTTGAAACAAATACAAAGGATAGAAATTTAGTAGCATAAAACAGATTCAAAACTCACACTAAAACAGTTATTTTTTTATATGTTAGTTAATTTTTTTCATCATATCTGTTAGTATGTTATGAGCAATGCGTGATCCACGCTTTGTCGATCATGTATCTTTCGATACATGACTGACGAGGCAGATGTTTTTCCAGCAGTAGGTTGACATTTCTTTCTGCGGTAGACCAGTTGCCATCAAAGACTATAGAACCCGATCTGTCCTGCTATTTACCCAGAGCTGGCAGGAGAATAAGAGAATTCATAATTTCCCAAAGGTATTAGTACGTAAGTGAATGCAATGAATTCGACAGGAATTCGAACTCGACTCTCCGATTCCTTAATCGGAGCCACTATCCATTACTGCATCGTATCTCGAATTTCCCTGCATTTTTATGGAGTGCCCTGTATTTATATAGGGGAACTTTTCGTCTAAGTATGTTATTTTCTCTCCTATAAAATGTGTACATCTTACCATTTCTTTTATTAATATTGTATTTTCAGATACACTTATTTGGATTTAATTCTGACATATAATACATAAATGAACAGACACACACACACACACACACATATATATATATATATATATATATATATATATATATATATATATATATAGTCTCTTAATGAATCTTTCTTATTGTATTGAACAGCTATTCTTACTCCGACTCGGAACACAATCTGACGAACATCGGATTCGTGGGGGTGTAGCGGAAACGCAAATGACACAAATGAGTCGGCTTGTTATCCTGACAAGATGCACCTGTTAATGTCGTCGTCCTTATCTCGTTTTTAATAAATTAATGCCACGGGCAATGGCGAATATCAAAAGTTGCACTTGGAATAACCAGAAATGTTTTGTTCTATCATTGCTTCCAACAGAAAAAATATTCTGTAACAATTCCAAGATCAGTTTCGATGTCATCTTGTTCTTTGCTTTCCTTATCAACCAGCCACAAACCTCCCTATCTATCGATCGATGTATAAATCTGTTTTTAACCATTTCACCCGAACGAAGCCAATAAAGCCACTAAGACGCAAAGGGTTAATGAGTTTCGAGAGAATGTCAGAGACAGAAAACATCATTACATGTAGCCGTTTCAACATTAAAATGACAAAGCCTTGCCGCATATCTCGTACTGCGAGAGGAAGGATCATCAGAACAATTAACATGCAAATCATTTTCCAATGCATTTTCATAATAAAATCCCTTTCCAATGCATTTTCATAGTAAAATCCCTTTCCAATGCATTTTCATAATAAAATCACTTTCCAATGCATTTTCATAGTAAAATCCCTTTCCAATGCATTTTCATAATAAAATCCATTTCCAATGCATTTTCATAGTAAAATCCCTTTCCAATGCATTTTCATAATAAAATCACTTTCCAGTGCATTTTCATAGTAAAATCCCTTTCCAATGCATTTTCATAATAAAATTCCTTTCCAATGCATTTTCATAGTAAAATCCCTTTCCAATGCATTTTCATAATAAAATCCCTTTCCAATGCATTTTCATAGTAAAATCCCTTTCCAATGCATTTTCATAGTAAAATCACTTTCCAATGCATTTTCATAATAAAATCACTTTACAATGCATTTTCATAATAAAATCCCTTTCCAATGCATTTTCATAGTAAAATCTCTTTTCAATGCATTTTCATAATAAAATCCCTTTCCAATGCACTTTCATAGTAAAATCTCTTTTCAATGCATTTTCATAATAAAATCCCTTTCCAATGCATTTTCATAGTAAAATCTCTTTCCAATGCATTTTCATAATAAAATCACTTTCCAATGCATTTTCATAGTAAAATCCCTTTCCAATGCATTTTCATAGTAAAATCCCTTTCCAAAGCATTTTCATAGTAAAATCCCTTTCCAATGCATTTTCATAATAAAATTCCTTTCCAATGCATTTTCATAGTAAAATCCCTTTCCAATGCATTTTCATAGTAAAATCCCTTTCCAATGCATTTTCATAATAAAATTCCTTTCCAATGCATTTTCATAGTAAAATCACTTTCCAATGCATTTCCATAGTAAAATCACTTTCCAATGCATTTTCATAGTAAAATCCCTTTCCAATGCATTTTCATAAAATTCCTTTCCAATGCATTTTCATAGTAAAATCCCTTTCCAATGCATTTCCATAGTAAAATCACTTTCCAATGCATTTTCATAGTAAAATCACTTTCCAATGCATTTTCATAGTAAAATCACTTTCCAATGCATTTTCATACTAAAATCACTTTCCAATGCATTTTCATAGTAAAATCACTTTCCAATGCATTTTCATAGTAAAATCACTTTCCAATGCATTTCCATAGTAAAATCACTTTCCAATGCATTTTCATAGTAAAATCACTTTCCAATGCATTTTCATAAAATTCCTTTCCAATGCATTTTCATAGTAAAATCCCTTTCCAATGCATTTCCATAGTAAAATCACTTTCCAATGCATTTTCATAGTAAAATCCCTTTCCAATGCATTTTCATAGTAAAATCCCTTTCCAATGCATTTTCATAGTAAAATCCCTTTCCAATGCATTTTCATAATAAAATTCCTTTCCAATGCATTTTCATAGTAAAATCACTTTCCAATGCATTTCCATAGTAAAATCACTTTCCAATGCATTTTCATAGTAAAATCCCTTTCCAATGCATTTTCATAAAATTCCTTTCCAATGCATTTTCATAGTAAAATCCCTTTCCAATGCATTTCCATAGTAAAATCACTTTCCAATGCATTTTCATAGTAAAATCACTTTCCAATGCATTTTCATAGTAAAATCACTTTCCAATGCATTTTCATACTAAAATCACTTTCCAATGCATTTTCATAGTAAAATCACTTTCCAATGCATTTTCATAGTAAAATCACTTTCCAATGCATTTCCATAGTAAAATCACTTTCCAATGCATTTTCATAGTAAAATCACTTTCCAATGCATTTCCATAGTAAAATCACTTTCCAATGCATTTTCATAGTAAAATCCCTTTCCAATGCATTTTCATAGTAAAATCCCTTTCCAATGCATTTTCATAAAATTCCTTTCCAATGCATTTCCATAGTAAAATCACTTTCCAATGCATTTTCATAGTAAAATCACTTTCCAATGCATTTCCATAGTAAAATCACTTTCCAATGCATTTTCATACTAAAATCACTTTCCAATGCATTTTCATACTAAAATCACTTTCCAATGCATTTTCATAGTAAAATCCCTTTCCAATGCATTTCCATAGTAAAATCACTTTCCAATGCATTTCCATAGTAAAATCACTTTCCAATGCATTTTCATAGTAAAATCACTTTCCAATGCATTTTCATAGTAAAATCACTTTCCAATGTATTTTCATAGTAAAATCACTTTCCAATGCATTTTCATAATAAAATACCTTTCCAATGCATTTTCATAGTAAAATCTCTTTTCAATGCATTTTCATAAAATCCCTTTCCAATGCATTTTCATAGTAAAATCCCTTTCCAATGCATTTTCATAATAAAATCCCTTTCCAATGCATTTTCATAGTAAAATCTCTTTTCAATGCATTTTCATAGTAAAATCCCTTTCCAATTCATTTTCATAATAAAATCACTTTCCAATGCATTTTCATAGTAAAATCTCTTTTCAATGCATTTTCATAGTAAAATCCCTTTCCAATGCATTTTCATAATAAAATCACTTTCCAATGCATTTTCATAATAAAATCCCTTTCCAATGCATTTTCATAGTAAAATCACTTTCCAATGCATTTTCTTAATGAAATCACTTTCCAATGCATTTTCATATTAAAATCCCTTTCCAAAGTATTTTCATAGTAAAATGTCTTTCCAAGTACTTTTGTATGCGGTAGTGGTTCACAATACTTACCTCGTTAACCATTACTATTTAGTAGTCAGTTTTGATCTTCACTGGTACAAAATTTCGACATTAAATAACCCACCTTGTGTTGACAGGTAGAAAATTCAATCAACCTAACTTAACATACTTAGTTGTCAATTCGAATCCCACAATCTTCCCTATATTAAATTCGGTATAAACCCCAACAAGGGTCGACATTCCGTAAAATCCGCCAACCCAAAACAAATCAATATCTACTGGATTAAACTAATCCAGGAACCATAATTTGTTGAAGTCAACATGCTCGCTTGTCATGAAATTCAGTATTACTTGCTTATATCCGACCTTGAATTACTGAATGTCTGATCACTTCAGAGGATTATTTGTCACTGTTTTGCTCACCGTGTGAGTGCAAAATGATTGCAGAGTGAAAATGCCCTAATCAAAATAGCTTCAATGTGATTGGTTGTTTTTTGTTCATTTTTTGCTTCTCGCCAAAACCATAATTCACTTTACCACTTCCTTTTCCGACTAACTAAACAAAGATCAGGTTTCGCTCATGGCTTCTTTTCATTAGCTCTGTTTAAAAGCTTCCGAGCAATGAGAAACGGAAGACGTCTCCAAAGCAAAATAAAAAGTAGAGAGTTGTTTCAAGTTTGGCCGACTTCCAAGGTTACAATGGCGATATTAATATTAATAATAATAATAATAATAATAATAATAATAATAATAATGCCAATAATTGTGATGGAGGTCTTCCAGTAAGATGAAAGATTGACATCAAATGAAACATCAATGAACAAATATAACAGTTGCTAAATTAAGAGTTGCAACATTTCTTTTTTATCATTCTAGGTTAGCTCCCTTGCCTTAATGCACATGTGCGCATTCCAATTATATCTATCTATCTATCTATCTATCTATCTATCTATCTATCTATCTATCTATCTCAATCACTTCCTTCCTATCTATCTATCTATCTATCTATCTATCTATCTATCTATCTATCTATCGTATTCATTTCATTATCGCTTTTCTTCTTGCCATTGATCTTTCTTCCCACCTCTTTCTTTATATATATATATATATATATATATATATATATATATGACGTCATATATTAAGAAATGGACTACGTTCGACTATTAGTTTAATATATTTTATTGTTATACTTTATTTATATAGACACAAATATTTAAGTAAATGCTCTGTTAATAATAAACATTTTGACAACATTTACTGGCCTGAATATACGAGAAATTTCATAGAAAATTTGCAGTCAGGGTAAGTGCAACTACTGCTTTTATTTCAATTCCAGATCATAGTCTCTGCCTTCGAAAAGTTTAAGTGAGCTTTTACCTCTTGGAAAGGAAATGCTGATTTATTTATTCAAGATCATTCTTATCCCAACAATGTATATCTATATCACCAGCAAAGGACATCTCATCATCAGCGCATTGGACTCGGGAAGGAAAACATGAAAGGCTGTTTTCAAGTAGTGGATGCATTTCGGATGTGGTATGGAATGCTTAAATGACCAGTGTCCATCTTTCTATATCTGTGCTTGTATATGTGCAGAATATAGTCTAGGAAGAGGATTAATTCGATTTTGGCTCTCGTTTGCGCATTGTCGCACCTCAGATGAACGAATGCGAACCCTCACGCAGGAGTGTGACAGGGTGGGCACCGTTCAATGATGCTTCTAGGCGGTCAAGTGGACACAACGAACGCTACGTTATCACAGACGACATAGTATCAACACACACCAACATAGCTTCGAGATATCTGAGATTCATTGCGTTATCGTTGTTTGCGGTAGACCTGAAAAAAATTTGAACATTGGCTCGGCTGTAAGGCGATGTAAACTATTCGATGATTGACCAGAAAAAAGGAATGGAGGCAAAAACAAAGGAGACATTTCTGGAATCATGTGAATTTTTTTTACCTATCCCACGACCCACGGCGTCGCGTGTACAATCATAGGAACAGGCCAGACGGTCTCTAGAGTCAGATTAGATACGCCAAAAGACCAGGTGAAACCCTGTCTTGAGCGTTGGAATATTAAAAGAAGCATCCTGGTCGGCCTTCTGTACGAATATTCCAAGGAAGTTGAACATAACCACTGGATATACGTTTGATATAATATATCAACTGCATTAAACGCGAATGCGATTGAGCCAGTGTCGCTTATTTTTTACTGCTGGAAATCTTCCCTGTCGGCTGGCGTTCCAGGAGGTTTTGAGCAGCATGGAACCACTACATAATTGCTAGTTTTTCCACATTCAATAAACAATATTAACAGCATTTATCGGCCTGAATGTCAGAGAAATTTCATAGAAAATAGGCGTCTTCCGTCATATCCGTGTAGGATAGAGCTCGATTCCTGACTGCAAATTTTCTATGAAATTTCTCGGATATTCAGGCCGGTAAATATTGCCAAAATATTTATTATTAAATATTTGTGTCTATATTCCCGAGTTCAATGCGCTGATGATGAGATGACCTATGCTGGTGATATATAGATATACATTGTTGGGATAAGAATGATCTTGAATAAATAAATCAGCATTTCCTTTCCAAGAGGTAAAAGCTCACTTAAACATTTCGAAGGCAGAGACTATGAACTGGAATTGAAATAAAAGCAGTGGTCGCACTTACCCTCACTGCAAATTGTATAAACGAGAGATTGTTGCCCGAATACACTATCACACATCAGTGGTTCCCAACCGAATTTGGGGCATGACCCACTATGGTATTTCTAAAATTCTGGTGCCCCCCCCCCCTGTAATATTTAATTTTTACATATTCAAAATTTTACTACAATTCACGCGACGGAAGCATAACAGACCATCAACTTGATCACTAAACAAGCCTCCATAAAAGAAATCACCTATACGAACACAAAAATAAAAATCTTTATCACAGTAGCATGTCAGCTGTATTTAATGAAACTTATATATATATATATATATATATATATATATATATATATATATATATATTGGAATAATGTTTTGATACCACAAAACAAATATAACGATTGAAAGAAAATGAATTTCTTTTGTATGACCATTTTTTTTTTTTTTTTTTTTTGCAGGACCTAGGTACCTTTCGGCCAACGCTTCATCAGGGTCTTTCGTTGGCAAATGATTTTAAACAAACAATGAAAATGAAAAGAACGCCAAAATGGTTGGAACACGTCTAAAATTTTACGAAGATATATATACGTAAAATTAAAATAAATTTACGATTAAAATAAATGCGTAAATAATGAATTAATAATAATGAACCAACCTGAGCAGTAAGATAGAAAAATAAGTTGCTCATATATCAAAAAATAAATTTAGCGATCGTGAAAAATTCTCCTTTTGTTTAGAAAGTGATGGTTTAAATAATTTGAGGCATATCGGGCAACACCTATTAGAAAATGAGTCATGCTCAAAACGTTTCACAATGGACTCGTTTTCAATTATATGCGTAGGCAGGTCCAAATATCATCTGTCTATTTTGGAAGCCATCTGCCTCAAATTATTTAAACCATCGCTTTCTA